GCTACTCTCCGTGCCTTTCGTCTATAGACGGATGAATGGATGTCAACTTTATTATTCCGCCAAATAAGGAGGCCCACCACTCCCCGTCCCCAGCACAATGGCCAAGGTGACGGCGGCCGCCACCTCCGCGATTAGAAGATGGCGAAGAGGTTCTGACTCCTTGTGGCTTCTCCTGCCAGGCTTGTTGCTGTGAAGCAGGGTCCTCGCTCCGCTTCAGGGCTTTCAGACCTCTCTACAATTCACAGCAGCTATCATGAAGTCCCCTGTATGATTAGATGACGTCGCAAGCAATGGACGCTGTCAGTGGGTGAACAAGAGCCTGTTTTTGATAGGAGGTGGTGGTCGTAAACATTTAATAAATATTGAGGTTGCAAAGGAAACCAGCCGCTCAGCTTCCCTACAGTGCCAGGAGGAGTCCCTAGTAAGGAATCCTATTGGTTGTGGCCGCTGTCCTGGCACGCCAGACCATGGCTTATTGGGCCGGAGCATAGAGTTTCCTAAATTTAACTAGAGGGGCCTCTGGCGCTGCGATCGTTCTGCGACCATGGGAATGAATGATGGGTAGTACACACACTTGCCTAGTCTTCGTAATTGCGGGCAGCGAATCCTACTTGCAGCTTTGTTTAATGCTGGTTACTGTTTGGTTTTGAAGGAACGAACGAACCCTTTTGAACTTTGTGGCCTGATTCAATATGGTAAGCCTAAAAAAGTAAGGTTGGTAAGCGCAAACGCTGCACATCTCCTAATTTATTTTTCGTGAAAAAAATAGCTCTAAGCCACACGAACACACACGGAGCCAGAAGCAGGTTAGAAGTACGAAAATTATACAAATGTGTGTACTACCCATCATTCCCATGCTCGCTGAAGCGCCGTGCGTTGCAGCTCCCATAGACACTAGCGCCAGAGTTCCCTCTAGTGTATATTAAAAAACTCTATGGGCCGGAAGGCCGAGCAGGTGCACGCGCTTGCGTTTCCCCCTCGAACGCTGAGAAGCGAGCCGCGACTCCTGGAGAGAGGGACAGATGAGCCGACGAGGGCAGCTTAGCGAAGGAGAGAGCAAAACGAAGAAACGCGAGTAACTACGCCAGCATTCGATGTAGATCTCGTGCGAAACTGCAACGTCTCAACTAAATTTTGACCTCGGCGTGGCAGTAGCGTAGCCGGACGGCGGCACTCCAAAACCGTATTCCCACTTCCCCGAATTATTTAGGGGCGAAGCTCCTTATAGCAGCACCCGTTCATCCCTCGTAGTCGTAGTGTGTAACCAGTCTTACGTTTTGACCGGCAAGGTGGTGCCGGTGGGAGATTTCTCCTGTGCGTTGTTGAACAATAAAAAATTCGTAGCGTGCGCGTTAACTAAAAGCCGAATTCTCCTGTCTCTCATTCCCCATTAGCAGCCATTGGCGTGTACATTGAGCACTATATGACCAATTAAGAAAGGCTTGCTACGTTATACTCGCTGGGCGTAACCTCCTTGGTTTTAGAAAGGTTTAGCGAGCGTTGAGCCGCAGTGCCATAGTGAAGTAGTATATACCATGAAGTCGAGGTGGTTAAAGGTGGGAAGTAGACACGGAGCGCAAGCCGTAAGAAAGAGTGCGTGTGCCACCTCTCATTCTGTCCTAGGAATGTCTGCTGGATGGCGGTGCTTCTATATCTGGAATATATGATGAAAAGATGCGAGATGGTGGTACTTGGAGTGTTGAATAGATGGACGAACGGATACACAGACAGATGCATGGACGGACTCACGGATGGCTGCACCGACGGATAGACGCATGGACGGACGCTCAGATGGACGTGCGGACACACGAACAGACGCGCGCACAGACGGGTGAATGGACGGTCACACAGACTGATGCATGGAGGGACGGAAGCAAGAACGAATGAACGGACGGATGCTTCGCCCCACTCTCCATCATTCACTCCGTGGATATGCTGCCGTTTTTTCTCCATGGCATAGAGAACAAAAATGAACGTTTCAAAAAGGTGACCCCCCCCCCCCCCCCCTAGCCCCAGGAAAAAAAGAACAAAGATTCTGCCACGCCCCTGCTGGGTGCGCTTTAGGAGAAGGTACCCTTCCCCTAGCAGCCTCCAAAGGCACACGCTCATGTACAGGAGGACAAGTCCTGCAGTCCGAGCTGTGTTCATGCATTTTAGTTGTATACGTATCGTTAATATATACGTTCGTTTCCATTCTTCTTCATCGTGTTTCTGACTAATACAAACGCGGAGAAGCGTCACTGATTCATAAAGCACGCCGAAGTTGATCGGAAGTGTCTGAGAGACAGTTGAGACGTTGGAAAACTGTTGACGTCCACAGCTTATCGTTGCGTAATGCCTTTCCTGTATTCCGGGCGCCCAACTATCTTTCCATCCAGGCCTGTCTGCGTAGGCGCTAGTTAAGTTACGCACTAATCAGCGGGCAGCAAGGCCGCGCTGATGCGCGAATACGACTGAACACGACGCGCGGTCGGGACCGCGGGAGGCGACGGCAGCCGCAGTAATTACTCACCCTGCGTAGCTGGCAGGGAATTCGACTGCGACTCCCACAGACTTCTAGGAAAAAAACGACTGACGTGGTGCGTGGCGCTGTGCTGGGGCAACCGGTCCAGATCGAGCGACATGCACTCTGCTCGCAATGAAGCGCGTCAGTTTATGTAACGCCTGCACGCATGCGCATATGTTAGGGAGTTTTAGAACAGCGCACCGCGAGCCCTTGCGGTGCGGCCACTGCGCATGCGTCGTAACGAGAGTCTCCGTTCGCGGTCCGCCCGCAAAAAAAATCTGAAATACCGGCCGCGTGTGCGGCCCGCAAACGCTAGTTGAGGCTATACGGTGTCGCTGTGATTGTGCGTTGCGGTTTGCAGGAGGGCATACGCTATTTTAAAACTTATATGGCGCCCGCTATGCCGGCGACGCCCGCATTGCCTGCAAACGTTATTCTAAAGCTCCCTATTGTTTGTGGCTTGTCGCGTTCATTCACGCTGATACATAGGTTCACGCATTGCTTATGACATTTCCTCAATTCAGTCAAGAGGATTGGAAATGGACAACAGTTCCACTATAATAAAACGCGATGTGAACTAGACGAGAGCTAATGGAAGGAGAGTACCGGTATACCTTTGTTTCGTCGCCTTGCGTTGCGTTATTACCGTTTCACAGTATGAAAGAAATAGCCGAACATGTTATATTAAGTTCACTATGCATGTTGCTCCTTTTGTCCGTTAGAACAACATTGACTGAGAAATTATGTTTTTTTTTTCTAGCCAATACGCTTGCTCGTCAGGGTCGTATGGCGAACGCAAAAGTTCGCGATATGCCATCAAACAAATAACACTAAGTATAAAGGTAGGTCCGCGCGCTTATGCAGTGATACTTGCATAACAGTACTTATTATTATCTAGAATCTCTGCGCTGCCTGTTTTGGTACTGAAATTCTATAGCTTATGGAGCTGCAGTTGAATCTGTAACTATAGTGGAATACTGTATGGTTGGTATGGTGGTGAAGTTATATTCGATCAAAATTATTGCTACACGAATGTAACTTTTACCATCCCTAAACTTACTAAAGTAGTGTATGAAGGCCTTTTCAACGGTGCTATTGCGATAACGGATTTCGTTATACGCCTACGCTCTTTAAGGGTACTTGTTTACGTCTGTCAGTCTGATTCGTCAAGTGATGCATTCAAGACCGCAAACTGAATCGGCGCGACATTTTGAGCGTGAACTGCGTGCTTGACGCCAACGACGGTGCGTGGAGAAGGCGACAGCAATGCACACGCCACGATGCATAATTCACGAGCATGCAAATTTTTACGTTCTCTGATGGACGCACTCACTCCGTGGCTCATCCTTGCTCCGGAGCACACATTTATCTATGCTCGCTCCGCCTGCATTCGAACTGGCCTGCACTGCAAGTTGCACGCGTGGATTCGAGCACGATAAGGCGCGATGTATGGATCTGTATATATACAACGCAGTGCCAGCGTTGTGTTTGCTTGTCAGGGTAGCTGCTGCGATCTCTGTGGCACTAGGTTATTCTGGCAGGAGGGGGATGGGCGATGCCGCATCGAAGCTGCCAGGCCTGGTGGCAACGTGTGGAGGCCGGACGTGGAACGCAGTGGCTTTGCCGGGGCTTCCGCAGGAAACCGCGCCTTTTCCCTGGCGGCAAGAAACCTCGACGCCTTCTTCGACAGCTAGCTCGCCACAGCGTCTGGCTCTTTCGGCGACTATACCTAACGCGCTGAGAAAAAAGAAAAGAAAAACTGGCTACGCACAATCCGATAGCCGCTCCAGTTCGCCTCCAACTTCACTGCCAGTGCTTCCCTTCAACTATTTAGTTACACTGAGACGATCGACACTAGCGAGACTTTAATCTTATATTAAATCTTCGAAAGTATGGAATTACACTGCATGAACTTAAATAGACGGTACTATAAGTTTGACTGACCAGCTTAACGGCACGAAATAATGCACTGCTGTACAATGCAGCTCATGCCATGATGTGTCACTTTGGGCGGTGCCACATGACGCGGACTGTACATGCGCGGATGCGGTTTCATTTTTTAAAACCATCTCTGTACAGCGGTTCGCGCAAAAACGCGGATGCCTGCTGACAGCTCACGCTGAAACTATTCCGGTATCAGACGCCACAGCACGTGCAGTTCTCTTAGCGGGCATTGAACGAGCGAAAACAACGGATAAAATGAAGGACGCTAAGAGAATAAAAATAAAAAATAAACGCAGTACGCCACGATTGACAGGAACCGCCTCGGGATGATATCAGTGCGAAATTCCCGGAGTGCGAGGAGCGCGCGCCGCGGGAGACGATAAAACAACCGCAAGTTCTCTTTATGTTTTTACGGAGTCAGGTCCTTTTTCTTTTTCTATGGCATGACTCATCGCACCAGGCGTCCACAAGCTCTCTTGCGTAACTGCTCGCGCACGCGCACGGGTGCACGCCGCGCGCCTTTACTCTCGAACCCCATCTCTCTGCGCCTGCGCACACTCTGGATCCCATCGGCTCTTTCGGCGGCAGACGACGACCCGCCGCAGTTTGGAGTGTTCGGCAGCACCGGTGTCAACGTAGCCAGTTCTGGTGCCGTGGTTTGAGAGGTGAAAGAAAAGCCGAGATCGTCAAGTCGATCCTCAGTGTCCAGTGGACAAAATCCGAGGTGGGTGCTGCAATTATTCTGCCGTTTTCTGGTGCCGCGACCACTCGGAACAACGGGAAAAACTACGCGACAATGTCGTCTGCTCTTTGTTTTGGTTGTGCAACTGCGAGTTGTTAGGCCTGACGCGCCGCCGGCGTCAAAGTTGGGGCGTCGGCTGCAGCTTAGCTTAGCGCCGGCTGTGTTGTGCTTGCTGTTCGTTGCCGCTACTTGTTACGCTCGTAGTTTGTGACTGACCTCGCTTTGACTTGCAGTGCCGTAGGATTTATGCTAACCATTTAGCCAACCTACGTGGAAGGCTGTCGCAAAACAAAGCGCAGCGATACGTCGTAATAGGTCCGTTTTTTTGTGTAACCCGAGATGGGTGGGAGGTGTCGCGCAACTGTACCGTCAGACCTGTCACTCGCAATCTGGCGCGCCTTTCATAGGCCCCGTGTCGTTGTTTGGCGACGCATTGGGCGACGTCACGGGAAAGAGACGTTCGCACCAGCGGTTTTGGCTGGGCCGGTAGGTTTGTAGCTGTGCGAGACTCGGCGCTTTCTGTGAGCGGCTTCGGCTCGGCCGTCAATGACCTATATTGGCTGCGACCGATTTCGAACAGGGGCCAATGCCACCCCGTTTGCGCTTATTTATGGCCAGACGTTCTGCAAGTATTAATTTCCGTTGGTCTTGTCTTCTCCGATGCGTCACGGCAAAGTTTTAAACCTGCTTAGCTTGGTGTTTAAATTTGAAGGTGATGTAGCTTTTTTGCGGTTGTCCGCCGCTGTTTAAATCGAATGCGAGGAAATTAAGCGTAGTTACAGGCAACTCGGTCTACATTCCTGGCCGTTCGTTTTTGCGTGCTCGTTTGTAAGGGATGAAAAAATGCGTGATGAGCGCTCACTAGTGATATCGACCACCTTCGGCACGTCATCTGATGATTTCCATACGTTCGAAACGCATGGGCGTAGCCTACAATTTTAACTTTCATTTGAAAAAAAAAAAAAAAAACTGCACACGCCATTTTTCAGATAGCAGGGAACCAACGCCTGGAATCTCCATTGCGATTATTGGTCCTTATCGACCTTTCAAGACGCCGAGGTTTGCTTGAGCGAGCTCTCTTTCCCCCCGTTTTTTCTTAACGCCACTTATATTTTCATACTGATGTCACAGCTTCTCAAGCAGAATGAAATCTGCAGTAGGCAATTGTCGTAGACGCTTGTTTCAATCCAGTGCTCTTCAAAGCCATGGAGGAAGGTGTTCAAAGCCCGGTTGTCATGGTCGGTGCTACGGTGGTAAGAGGGCATGTTGCGTCCGCGAAATTAAGCCGCGTATTTCGATTGTCACTTGTTGCAGCGTTTTTCTGAAGAGATTTCGTAACTTTCCACGGACATCTCTTCCGTTTCACACACTAGAGGCCCATTACGGTATCCAAAGACATTATCGTGTCTAGTGGCTAAGGTACTCTGCTGCTGACCCGCAGGTTGCGGGACCGAATTCCGGCTGCGGCGGCTGCATTTCCCATGGGGGAGGAAATGCTGTAGGCCCGTGTGCTCAGATTTGGCTGCACGTTGAAGAACCCCAGGTGCTCAATTTCCGGAGCCCTCCGCTACGACGTTTCTCATAATCATATCGTGGCTTTGGGACGTTAAACTCCACTTATCAATCAATCAGACATTATCGTGTGATCATTTTAGAATTACGACTGCATGTTAATCGCGGTCTAGTTGACCTTAATCAGGGTGGGCGATCGATTCAGGCTTACGGATTTCCATGAGACCCAACAGGTTCTAACCTGCTTCTGACTCACTTTTAACTGCTGCGACCTTACGCTGCCTGTCCTCGATAATTGGTTTAGTTTTTCTCTGCCACTGCAGTGCCGGTTCTGCCGATTGCTATACGTAATAGGTATTCGGTAACGATTACTGATGTGTGTCTGCAAGCAGCCAGACCGATCGGCCCGCTCGCAGCCCGTGAATGCCGGCTCGGCCTTGTTTGCCAAAAGTTCTCTCGGAGGGGAGGGCCGGACGGCGTTGCCACGTCCTCAAAATAGCAGGCGGGCATGGGCGCGTAGGCGCCGGCCGCTGCGCCCAAAGCTCGTGTGGGGAGGCCGGCGCCATAATTCTGCCTCGTCTCCCCCCTCTCGCGTGGGACGAGTTCGCGAAGCGCGCGTCTGCGCGCAATTTACCGAATGAAAACAGCGCGCCGCACTATCGTGTGCCGATCGTTTTGGTGGCGATCGGAAGTGACCCACGTCCCATCCTTTTGAACCAGCTACGCGTGCACTGATAGCGGCCGCGAGAACGTTCAAGTTGGACGACGAAAAGTGTCAAGAATGGTGGCGCATGGACTTGAATAGCGAGAAGGCTGACATGAAACACACCGCTCTAGGTTCCCTCAAATAAAACACAGTTAAGCTTGGGGAACGACATCAGTTGATTTTAATTGTGTTGTAGTAACTGCCGAATGAAGAAACTTCCATTTGTGGCCTTCGAACTAGCAATTAGATACAAGCCCCTCGAATACTGCCGCTCCAAGTTGTGCTGCAAGCCGTGCAGCATGAAAGGAATATTGACCAGAAAACTTTTTTTTGTGTGTGTTCGAATGAGAGGCTAGCTTCACAAGAACCTTAAAATGTACTGATAAGCGTGAGTGCGCCCTGAGAAAGTAGTTTGTAAAGCTAGTTTCGCTTCCTTGCTGTTCCCTGACGTCACAAAACGGTATGAACTTGGTGAGGGCGCCGGTAGCGCCGTCTGGTAAATGGCTTGTTCCGGCCGCGCAACATGTGCGCTCCGCCATCTTGGATCCGCAGCAGACGACACTGGTCGAAGCTCGCGCCTGAGCGGGCGTTGTCCGTCGGTTCTCCCCATCCTCTACGGCGGCGCCCAAACCCTTTTCGGGGTGAGGAGGCAGGTGACAAACGTGACTGGGCTAGTTTCTGGGGTGTTCCATTGTTCCGCCTCTTCCCTCCCGCAGCGATGCGGCCTCGCGGCCCCGTCCGAGCGCGACGCGTGACCCCAGAAGCCGGCCTGCCGCCCTTCCCTACTCGTCGGGCTTCCTTCTCGTTTTCTCGGCTGGCTGCCTTTGCTGGCGGCGCCTGCAAAACTGGCCCGGGCAATTCCGCTGCCTTTGGTCGAGTTCGTACACCGGTAAACGCTGCCGTAGACGCCTCTCCCCTCCTCAATCTTCTGTAGGGCCTCTCGCGTCTGCGAACTTGGATTCCGCCGGCAAGTACTAAGTGGTATTTCAACAGCCATTACTTTTGTTATCTTATGTTACTGGAAAAGTCGGGGAATTTTTACCCTTCTGGAAAAGTGAGGGAATACTGAAAAAAACTGGCCTGGTCATGGAAACTGACAGCAGGCTGTGCAATCGTCACAAAAATATACATTACAATTGATCTAAGCTTAGAAAACCACTCCTTCGGCTGCAACTACAGTGAACAGCAAGAAGATGCGCAAAAAAATCGAAAGCAGTGCGTAGCTGTTGCTCCTTAATATAGACTCGAAAGAATACACCTACCAAAGGAATATAACGTTTACTCATGTTTTGGCACCCACTACCGGAACCTTGTTCACAGTAATAGCCATGAGAAAGGCACAGGGTATTTAAGTATGTGACAAGCACCAGGACTACATTGTCTGAAGCGTCCCATCACTCCTGTTCAGCGTAAGTGCAGGGGTCTTATATACTGGTGTTGCAAATGCAGGCAGATAGATGTCAGCTTCTTTTTGGCCAGAACACACATGCTCGACCAGTCAGTTTGCTGGCCTGTAGATTCCAGGTAGGATATATGAGGTCACGCAATGTTTTCTGGCATCATATTTATGTTGTTCAACTCTTTCCTTTCAAGGGACACTAAAGTGAAATAACAATTTACGTCAGAGTAGCAATGAATGACATCTAGAACGACAATGTTATCAACAACAGTGCCCTACTTACCGAGAAATTAATGTAAATGCACAAGAACACAAGCGATGCAGTAGGACATATTCAAAATGATCCTGATGACGTCAGACGGACCGCCTACAATTGATCACTTGTAATCGATCTAGCTGCACTAAATAAACCTTCTGTGCATTAAGAGATGCAATAAAATGCTGCTTGTTCGCTTCTGTTCGATTTATGGAAAAAAGAACCGCCAGACATTACTATGGGTAATGGCGCGAGTGCTTCAAAAATTCAATTTTCGCGTAGTTACTCTGGGCATGCAGTGCCATCTAGCAGGGCGCAGTTAAACAAAAAAAAAAAAAAAAATCTGCCATGGTCTCCAAGGGTGGGCGTGAGCGCCCGCTATCTCAGAGGCCATGGTTGTTGCTGCTATGGCTCCCGCTGCTTTTGGTCTGCTGCTACTTGCGCAGTAAAGCCGGGCATTGTGCACGGTAACAGTGACGTGAGCTGGTCCGGTCAGTCAGTTTCGTGAGGCGGGTAATTTGAAGTGCGCTAACCCGATGCGAACCACTAAAACGTGATCTTATTTAAAAAAAGGCCCTTCCGTGGCACAAAAGTAACACAAGGTTTTTGGAGCACTATTTCAACAATCCAAATCAACTTGATAGTTGCCTTTAGTGTCCATTTAAATCAGTGGTCTCAACGATGCACTAGATGTCACTATTGTGGCAGCTTAAAGCGTAAGAAAAAGGCCAAAGAAATTTTCACTCGGGTACTTGTCCTTCACGTCTAAAGGGTTACTTAGCTTCTATGTTGGTACATTCACCATTTTGATGTCTCTTGCTTCTACAAATCGCACAACGTATCCGACTTTCTAACCACTTTACACGTCGGTAAATTTGTGCATGTTTGTCTTGACCATAATTTCGGCTCGGCTTGAAGGCCTTCTGGTTCAGATAGAACTGACATTAGCAGAGGCTTGCTAAGCTATGTGATGTCTTTTATCATCATAACTATAATTACTATTATTGGTGATGCAAGAGAAAACATCCTCTGCCATGCACTTACTGCTGGTAGCTTGCGTTTCAAGGTTAGAGTTGAGTAACCTCATCTGAATTCAGTAGTGATCCAGCTGCGCCATTTGCGCCAATTTGCTACAATTATACCTTCCTGCGCCTCACTGCGCAAGTGTTGTTTTGTTTGCGCCAAATGCGCCAAGTTGCACGAAAAAACCCGACTTTAGCGGATGTTCATTTTGCAGTTGGCAACAAGTGAATTCTTTTCTAGGTTGGCAATCGTTTACCATGTGCTTTGCAGCTTTGGTATTCGTCGGTGTTGTTCGGGCGTTTTCTGTAGGTTTTCGCGCTCATGCACAGCACGTCGCGTCGTTGCATGTGCGCCATGTGCTTGGGAACAACCAGTCAGCGAATGTTTGTCATCCCCCCGCTGTTGAAATGGACAAAAGTAAGTCGCTTTCTTTTTAAATTTTGTGGCATTTCTTAATAGCGCCCGTGAAATACTTTAGTGAATGCTTAGGCGATTGCGTAGGGCTGCTGGCATTTATTGCCGGCCGCACTTTGCTATTGAATCAGTACAGAAGTTGCAACTTGCCTATAGTTCTTCCGATTTCTCGCTACTGATGGTTTTTGTGTTCGGAGTGTCCGAGCGCTGTACGTAGGCTTAGGAATGTGCGCCGTGCCTTGTTTCGTAGTGCGGAATATCCGCATTTGAAACGCGCAATCGCTCGTACGGCATGCAGCAGTTACACCTCCTACATGCTACCGTTCGGAACATATAATAGTGCGAAACGAACGAGCGAGTGACGCGGAATACACTACGAATTTCTGCAGGCGGGTCGCTTTTGTTGACGTTAGCAGATCGCTAGATGGGCCGTATGTGCTGCCGGCACGTCACGGATCGGGCGCCCCACCGTGCGAGCTGCTTGTAGAATAGTCGGAAAAGAGTGATTGAGCGTCGACCATGTCAACACAAGCAAGTCAATAAGCACCGTAATATTACCGCATTAGCGGCCGCCGATCGTTGGGAATCCGCTATTCGTGACGTGCCGTTCCCAATTAGCTTTTTTAAATATTTAATTTAAGGAAAACATTGCTGTCGATTTCTGCTCTGATCATTGCGCGCCGCGCCGGAAGGAAGCAAACCTCCAACATACATTAGCGCCTTATGCCGCCTTGCCAGCTGGGGCAATGCGTTTGTCTGCGGCCGCCAGACCCACGCGTCATCCGCACGGCAACTTCCTGTAAGTTGGTCGCGAGTTTTAGGTGTGAATGGTCGACAGACAAACTGGCATCCCGATTCGCGCCATTTGTCGAGGCTGTACCCAAAATGCTTGCGCAAATATTTGGTGTTGGCGCCTTAGAGTTGGTATTTAGATCTTCCAATGAAGTAAGGTTGGCATTATGTTACGGGCTACCCTAAAAATGAGTCTAGTAGTTACGTGCTCTTTTTACTAGCGTGCCTTTGTCGTGGGAAATATTACAAGAGCGGAACCTTGGGCTAGTTGGTGCGTAGTCACATTTGCAAGTTTTTTATACTGACGCATTGACTAGGCTTGTATTTTGTCATGTTTTTAATCATCCTTTTTTTGGGCATATATATTCTTGCCACTCTGTGAAATAAAGTTAGAAGTCAGTGCTCTTTCTGTCTACCTTGTTGCTTTTACCTATATTCACGCTCTGAAAAAAAAAAAAACTTGGGAAAGTTTACTGTCATAAAGTTCGTTTCGCTCATGTTTTCAGATCGCAACACCAAGTTCAACGCCTCTGTACTCAACGAGGTGGACTCCAATAATGATCCGATCAGTCGGTGGTACAAGAGTGGAACCCGAAATACAGATGCATTTTGTATTCTTTGCAACTGCACCATTTCTTGCGCACAGCATGGAGCGGCAGCAGTGAAGCGTCATGCTGGGATGAAGAAAAATATTGATGCAGCTGCTAGACACAGAGACAAGGACGGGAATCTTCTTCCACCCAAATTGGTGCAAGGCACACTGGACTTCTCCAACGGGTCTGCTAATACATAACTTGAGCACCAAGTCAGCAAGACAGAAACTACTTTTGCTTTGTCTGTTGTGGCCAAGGGAATTCCTTTTACATGGGGAGACACGGCAACTTCGATTTATCACTGCATGTTCCCCGACAGTGACATTGCCAAAAAGTTTAGTTGCGGCAGAATAAAGTTGGCCCGCATTGTATCGGATGGACTGGGTCCCTACTTTAAAGGACAAGTGGTGACTGAGCTGTGCCAGCCAAATGTCTATTTTTCCATTATGATTGATAAGACGCCAAAGCCAGAGCTAAGGGTGCAGCAACTAGATGTGCTGGTACGCTATTTTTCCAGCAGCCAACAGGAAGTTGTTGTTGAACATGTCCAGTCATTTGATCTTGGGCGTGCAACCACTGAAATAATTGTTGGCTGCATAGAAGAAGCAATAGCAAATCTTCCAAAGCAAGGACTTGTTTGCTTTTTCAGTGATGGCCCTAATGTTATGAAGAGCGTAAGAAACAAGCTTCAGAAGCATGTGGCACCAAGTTTGATTGATATTGGCAACTGCAATCTTCATAAGGTTCATAATGCATTTGGCAGAGGCCTGGATGCATTTGGCTTAGATGTAGAAGAAATAGTGAGAAATATTTACTACTACTTCAAAGGCGCTGTCCGCGCTGAAGCACTCAGAGAATGCCAGGATACCTTGGGAATCTCTTGTCATGTATTTCTGCGCCACGTTTCTAATCGCTGGCTGACGCTACAAGACTCACTTTGCCGAGTTGAGGAACAGTTTGAAGCGCTTCGCACCTATTTTTTTAAGGGCAATTCATCTCGTCAACGACCTGACACCCAAAGCCTACACAACAAGCTTGTGTCTGCATTTTCTGAGAAACAACTTTTGGACAAAGTGTTGTTCCTTAAGAACTGTGCGCAGCTTTTCAGTGGATTTCAGCTGCTCTTCCAAAAGCAAGAGCCGCTCTTGCACATACTTCACGTTGAACTTATTGTTCTAGTCCAACGAGTCCTCAGTCGGTTTCTTCGTCATGAAGCCTTTGCAGACAAGAGCGCTGAACAACTGAAAAGGCTAGATGTGATGGATGCATCCCTTTGGAAATCGAGGCCGGAAGTTGGTACAGATACTGAAAAATCAATGCTTGAGTGGGACTCTAGTGAGAAGAAGCGGTTTTATCTTGGAGCACGTGCTTTTTACTTGGCCTGTGCCAAGGATCTTCTTCATTCAGAAGCTTCCGCTCGACAATAGAGTTTTTCAATCTGCTAGCCTCCTCAATTGGCAGTCAACAAATGTTGAATCGGAAGTGCGAGCACTGAAGTACCTTGTGTCTCAGCTTCCTCAGGTAATCAAACATGAAGAAGTTTCCTCAGCCATTGATGAGTGGCATATGTTAAAGTGTGACTCCAACAGTGACCTCCTGGCACTTGGAGGTGAAAGAATTGATGTTCGTTGGGGCAAAATATTTGAACTGAAGTCTCCTGGAGGTCAACCAAAGTATCCATTATTGTCGAGGCTTGTCAAGTGTCTGCTGTGCCTGCCACATGGCAACGCAGACTGCGAACGAGGATTTAGCGAAAATAAGCGCTTTTATGAGAACCGCTACTCATTATGCATTGCAAGCATTAACGGGTTGCGCCAGACAAAGACATACCTCCGCAGGTATGATGGAGATGCCACTAAAGTTCCCTTGTCGACAGAGCTTCTGCAAAGTGTAAGGAGATCTAGAGCCCGATACACAGAGAGAACTGCAAGTGCACAGCAGTCAGAAAGCAGGAAAAGGCTTGGAGACCAAGACACTGGTGCTGATGTCGACGAAAAGCGACTTCGTAAGAACTTGGAAGAAAAGGTCACCTCAAGTAGGGCATTGCTGAAACGAGCAGAAGACATCATTTCTTCTGGTCTGCGTTCTAAGAGCCTGGAACAAGTTGAAGCTGGGCAACTTTATTAGCTGAAGGCAACTCCGCTTTGAGCCAAACCCTCTCACAGCTGGAAGAACTAAGCAAGAAGGTGAGCAAGAGGACGTAAATGCTGCAACATGCACATGTTTCTTCTGTAAATAAATGAAAGTTCAAAACTCTCCTTACAGTTCGGTTTCTGGGAATTTTCGTCATGGCTTTTAGTGTACTTTAATAAACTAATGCTACACCTGCACTACCTTCATTTTCAGTAGTGCATTAAATCTGATGGACAGGTCCATTTCTTGGTGGCTTTTAAAAATCGGCATGCACGTGACACTCCAATTAATAATTGAGAATTGAGACAAGTACGGTTTTATAGAACTGTGGTTGCTATCACAGCTTTAGTTTCAGCAATAATGAGAGATGTATTTTTGTAAAATAGGTTGCTGCTACAATTGCTGCTCCAAAATCGAGTGCCGATACAAAGGTGCTCCAAAAGAGCATTTTCTCTGCTCCAAAAATTGCTCCAAAAGTTGAAGTGGCTGGATCACCACTGTGAATTTCTCGTTTCAGTTTCTTGAGGAGTTACTAATAAATCTGTGATTAGTTTTTAGTATTATGTCCATAGAAGAGTACACAAACCAAAGTAACCTGCCCGCATCTGTGATAAACCTGTGGTATCGAGGGAGCTGTTGCGACCAGACAGATTCTTTCTTGCCAGCACATATTTGAGTGCCATCGCTTTAAACGCTACTCTTAGCTTTCATTTCAGGCATCTGAGGACTTTGACAAACACTATAAGCCTCGGAGCCGAGAGAAATAAAACATCGACAAGCATGTGCTCGTCGTAGAAAAAAAAAATAAAGGAAAGAAAGGTGTGCGGTGCGGTTCCGTTCTTGCAAAGTTGTTGGTCATTGTCAGTGCATGGTGTACAGAATACACTAGTATATAATTTTTTTTTTTTGCTGAAAAGTATATATTAGAGGTGCACAATTTAAATGGAGATGCAAACCAATACTAAATACAGCAATCCATGTCACATCAGATCCAATCCAATCAATATCCCAAATAGTAAAGTCGGTAAATACAGGTCGATCTAATATAATCCTATCCCCATCCTAAGTGGCCGTGGCTGTAATCATTATAGTGAATTAGAATATACTCCAGTGGCGGAATTGGAGTATAATCAGCTCTAGCATCCTCCTTTTACACACATGCCACGAGATGGTGCCATTTCTACATTTCCTAACAGCTTTGACTGCTTTGTTGGACTATCATGGACTCCTCCAAACTTTCAACTGCTGTTAATTTTATCTCGTGATTGCATTCTGCCAAATGGCCTACTTGCAGGCTCAAAGGTATCATTTTGGTCAGCTATACATATTTTTTTATATTTACTGTACGCGCTCAGAACATTCTGAGCATGTGCGGTACATTTATTTACTTATTCTATAAAGTTGCCACATCTTTTTACCTCTCGTGGGTCTGTTTCCAGTGCATAGTTTTCCAAGCGAATGTAACTGTCATGGAATTTGCTTTAATCATCATAGAAAACCTTGAAAAGTCCGGGAATCTTGAAAAATCAAATTGGTTGACCCCCGTGTTGTTAGTAATAGCTCGAAGAGCCTTTTTTTTTGTTGCGCACACACTGTTTGTTTATGTTACTTTCAAAAGTCTTACCCCTGGCTAGGTGACAATAATTTACATATCTTAAAGATAGATGGTGTATCAAGCATTCGATACGAAGAGAAAGGAACTGGGAGGAATCCAGGATTTCTGTAATTTGCGAAAGCTTACTAACAAGAAAATAAATTACTATTCCAGGTCGTATTCCAATCAAAGATCGTGCCACAATGTTTTACAGAATTTACATGTTTGACTTTTGGCACTACTTTGAAAGGTATGCTGCCCCGAGTAGGACGAGAATACCGCCTGAGTGACTGTGATAAACAAGCTAAGAGGAGCACCGCCCATGCGATGAAGTGCCGATAAATATAAACATCAAGTTTCGTGCACCTACGTTTTGATGGCATGGCGAAAACGCGAAAGGGGGTTGCCCATCCGCTTGCCTGAGACCAAGCATTGCACTGATGCTGATATTTAGTGCTGTTTCTATGCAAAAAGGTGGCACAATCATTCCCAACGCTTTCTTCAAGTCCTAGAAGGTGGCAGTACATCCCAGTGAGCATGCATTGTCATAACAATGCGAAAATTCAACCGGAGGGTCGAAAACTTATTTAATGCAGAGACACTGTGGGACAAAGACGTCCAAAGGCTTTATTCAGACAACGCAGCAAACACCTCTGAGTGGGTTGTGGGACGTTAAAGAATTCAACGCTCTCAATTTGTGTTATTGAAACAGCATGCATCATCATACGCATCGCAGAAAGTTAGGTTAGTATAGTAATCATTAAACTGACTTGCCATTCTGTCATTGGGTATTTTGACTCCATCTGAAATTCTACATTAGCTTGCAGCTGGATTGGGCCGTGTGTTTAGCAACATGGCATAGTTGTTAAAAGAACTCAAGTGTTCTCTGTGGCAGTCAGGTATTCTACCACTGTCATGGCAGTGCTTGAAACTAGTTTTGAAAACTATCCAATACAGTCATGTCAGATGAGAAGTCTCATTGACACATTTAATGTTGTCACAGAGGGGCAGGATCTCTCCAGGCATAAGTACTTGTTAATTACATAACAAATAAGTTAAAAAATGTCAGCCCATTGCAAAGTGTTGAACTATAATTCATCACCAGTCACAGCATCAGCAAAATGCAGCTGTGCAAGTGGGCATATTGCCTTAAAGACACTTAGGGTGTGGGAAAATGTAATTGCACTCTGCATCATAGGATAGTTTACTAAGTTCAGTGTCACACATGCAGGTTTTAACAACTAAATGAGAAGGCAATACAAAAATATCCTGATAACTCTGTAGTGTTGCGCTTTAAAATATGAGCCTTAAGCACACTCTCATTCTTCAGTGTTGCTTTGTTTCACAAGAGAAACTCTACCTATGAGCCTGATGCTTGAGCGAGAAGTCTTTTGAGACATGGCCAGCTGTAAGTTGTCATACTGTTTGGCGGTCACAATCAAATGTTTGCTCCTTTGTCTATTGCAAATGGCTCTTGTTCTCATGGTAGTGCCTCATGGTTTGTGTAATATCTTTAGGTTAACATCAAAGGTTCGATAGGTGCAGTCTATTAATGCTTGCCTACACCTACACAGGCATGAATATTCTGTTAAGCTTGGGCAGCTCAGTTTAACAGACCACTGTAATTCAAGGTTGAATGAAGTGAAGGTAATAGGAGGCTGCTTCAAGCTTGGGAGCTTATATTTGGCAGTGTCACTGTTTTGTTAGTCCCCTTATTAATGTTAGGTTCATCATTATAATTTTATGGTGTTGTATGGGTGCATGTTCGTGTGGTGTGTAACTAACAGCGTGTGCATGTTGACTACTCCCCTATGCTGTCCCATCCTGGCTACCTTGGACACAGTGGTCATCCCCTTCCTTCTGAGTGTGCATCATGGACAAGCACCCCAAGTAAGCAGTCTCTTGCTGTGTGCAGAGTAATTGTTGCATGTTATTTGTACGATCTTGTGCAACCAAATGACTTCATCAGAGGGGGAAAGTGGGGAAACTCGCATTCTCCCCTAGCTGTACTGTTAAATTGTCTCAGCAGTGAGGCAGAGCTGGGGCAGTGAAAGTTCGCAACATTCAAGGAAGTACGCTTACACTGACTGAGATCTGATTGCAAACATCTGTAGCAAGCACGACTTGTGCAGGCATCATTGCGCTGTACCGGCATTGTTCAACAAGTTATCGCATATTTTGGTGACTTTGCATTAGCATAAAAGCAGTTTCATTATATGGGCTTAGTCTTTTTGTGCCTTCCCTGCTAGGCACAAAATCTTTGAATGTCTGGCGGACTGAAACACCTAGTGCTAGAACCACGTGTGCCCTTGCAAAGGCATGCTTGCATTCATGCTCCTATGGAAGCTCTAATGAAATCTAAAGGCATAAGTTTGTACTTGCGGTCTTCTTAGTAATAGTTGCTAATGACATATATTTAGTTTAAGATATGCAGGGCTGCCTGGTTGGTTGGTTTTACACGACATAGCTCCCAAATCAAAACTTCGTACTGTTAAATGTCGGGTGTCTACATATGCTATGCCAATCGAGGGTTGCACATGTAAGGAAAAACTTTCCTTGAGTGGAGTCGAGAGCTGTACTAAACATTACAATTTTACCCATATAGCTTTATATAAAGTACTACATTGTTCGTGCCTACCCGAATAATTTGACACAAATTGGTGTTTCATTGGCAATTTTGCCCCCAGGCAAAGCAGCATTGCTGTGGAGCCTTCATTAGGACAGAATTTATGTAAACGAATCCAGTAATTTACTCGTAGTTGCACAGCAATTCAGTCTAGAACATTCGACATAAAAGCATTGCTGGGAAGTTCTATCAGCATCCAATGAAACCAAAACAGTGGCAAGCATTAGTAGTGGTATTTCTGCTGTCCAGTCGATAACCATGGACATTTGCAGTGCTGTCAAACCAGAGTGCTCTACGCCTGTCAATGACTGCTTGGTGCACTATACACCAGAATACAGCAAGGTCCGTGCGTGCCACCATATTTAGACTGTGTTTTGCCACCTGTTGCAAGTGCGGTGAAGCAACACCTTGGACTGTCATGCACGAGTAAATTCTCTGCAAATCAAGGGGAAACTTATCAACCCGGGTCCGCAAGAACTCATGTTTTGCAAGTTTCCTCTCCTGGAAATTTGGGCTGTCTTCTAGTTAAATGTCAAGACTTTTCTTGACTGTTGAGGATTTTGACAGGACGTCCGGTGCAGACTGCAGAAGCAACTTCATCAGGTATGAACGGAATCGGTTGTCTATAGCAGGGCAGAGTGTGGGTATAGACTCGGTTGCCTGCACCTGTTAGGTCACGCTAGATAGAAGCTTCCGTTAACGCTTGAATTGCAGCACAAGAACCTAGCATGCTGTACGACTGTTAGGTGTCATTATGGCATTGGTCTTTGCATGTTTCTGCAGGAGACGGCAGCTGAAGCTGGGCACTCTAGACAAGGGTGATTCCATCATGTACTGTCGGCCGGAAGAGTTGGGAGATCTAAAGCGTGTGGCAGAGGGGGGGGGGGGTAGGGAAATCGTATTGCTGCAGCCGTTTACCCTGCTGCGGCATTGTTGAGACTACCGTATGTGGCCTCAGTGATTGGCAACTGCATGTTTAGACAATGTGCCACTGCTGGATCTAATCTCGGAAGCTATGGCAGATAACCTTAACACCATGTTGGACATTGCTGTGGGCGGCACAGCAATGCAGTTTTTCGTGCTCTCCCATGCGCTCCACATTTCGAAAACTTCTGCGGTTGACAGTACATGGTTACATTTGTATTAAACGTGAGCGGCGTATGCATGCATGTGCGAGTCGTAATAGCTTCTATTATTGGCTTGCGGCTTGCGAAAGGATAATGCATTGATTTAGTGCCACATACTACAGGTTGTGCAGTTTTGTAAGAACTCTGCGCTTCAGTGCAGATCTTGTAATAATCAGTGTACGCTTCGCAGCATTGGTACAAGGTTCAGCTCTTCAAGCTTGTTTAGGGAGTGCTCTGAATATGCCTGCTTGTCGCTCAATTAGCTGCTCTAAAATGAAATTGTTGGCGTCTCTTTTAATACATGCAGCCAGTGTACTTACTCGTGTACTTTTACCGGGGCTGTTAGTTTTTGCTGTTTATTGCAATTATCATTGGTGGTGAAGCTCAGCATTTCTCGTTGCAGATAGAAATCTGCGTAAGCTGAAAACATCGCACAGGCACGATTCTTGCATTGTTGTGATCTTCATAGGCTGTGCTGAGTACTGTTTTCGTTTTGCGCTGGTTGTTTTCACATACAAAGACTGCACAATGGTGCCCAGACAGCTTCTTGTAAGCAGGAGCAGCGTGACTAGGCACTTCCTGGCATTTTATTAAGTTTCGGAGCTACCACCTGCCATGTTTACTTGGCGCAATAGATGCCTTGGCAGACTTCTGAGTTTGAGAGTATTTTGCCGGGAGCCTAGATGCGAATAGGTGTGCTGTGGTCTATACCATTTATAATGCTTGCCACTTTTTGGTTTTTATTTGGGGTCGATAGTAAATGACCAAAGTATACTTTCATTTGTGTGCTTTCACAGCAGAAATGAACGCGCACAAGCTACCCATACTTGCAGTAAATCTGTTTCTGCAGGTTGTCTGTGCATTTTTTGGTAACATTGCATTGTAGTTTGTGTTCAGCTATGTGAATGGGTAATGGCACTTTCCTTTTCTGAGTTGATTGTGCTGATTATATCTAGTGGGGGCCTTCATTGTGAACTTATGATCTAGTGCAAGACCCTAATCTGCTGAACCCAATGCTAGATGTCATCAATTAAGGGATTGGTCAACCAGGGATGATCTCCCACCAGTCTCACTGGTTCGATTTTTCTTGACAGCGGCTTGAAGTAAAATTTAGGCATTTACTACTGTATCGGAAGTGACCGAAGTGATGTCAGATTATGCCATTCCCCTACATGCGTGCACATTTTTCTCTTACGTATGCAATGAATGTCTGGCTAGAACCTGAGATGTTTTGTTTACTGATGACCACCTATTTCTAGGGTCGCTGACGAGATTCAGCAGGAGCTGGCAAGCTTCAACGCTTCCTCCTTGAAGCACACAGAGACCCAGGAGAAGGTCCTACTTCCTTCCAAGGAAGGTTTGTGTCTGCCTTTTTTCCACAAATGTCATACAGATGTTTTCGTTGGCTAGGTGTCGGCCAATTTTAGATTTCTCTCGAGGCCTAGTAAGTGCTAGAGAATGTTTTCTTTTTTCATGTGTGGGTGGTTTTATTCAGTCATTGCTGCTCTACTGTCTGATATTGTTTGCACTGTTGGCAGTTAAATGGTGTGCAAGTATATTAAACAGGTCGTCAGTATTCGACATGCTTTCAGGGCTATTTTGTAGCTATTCATTTCATTTTTCCATTAATTTCGTGCTTCGTGGTTGTCTTTGCTGCAGTTGTGTTGCTGCATTATGCAGGAATGAGTCGCTCGGACAATGGATTTAAAATGAAATATGAAAGGCATATTTTCCAACAATGGACCCTGGTATTGCCTCAATTTAATGAATATTCTGGCAGGTAGCATAAATGCAATTGCACTCCAGTGAGAAATGGGTAGATGTGTTGCATTTTAAGATTCAACCTGATATGAATCAGTTGCCCAATCTCATTTTCTGAGCATTTGTATATGACTGTCATGTTCTTAAGCTAGCTTTAATGGGCTTCTTCTCATACATGTGAAAGTAGGTGTAACAGGAGTTCCTCCGTAATAGGTTGGGTCACCGCAGGGATATCAGTTGTGTACGACAGGTACACAACTGCTTTCTTCCTGCATTTACAAGTGAATTAAATCGCCTCTGTAATGACCCAACATAGTTTCATTGAAGCATGGTACCGCCTCATGAAACTGATCATCCCTGGATAGTTGCAGGCAGTGCATTGCCTACTGGGCTTATGCGGTCACTGCCAGGCAGTTCTCTGTATTACGTGCATTTGTGCGTTCTTTGTGCCCTCTTCATTTCGAATCGTGCACGGTCACTGCGAGTAACTTGTTTGGTCAATGCAGCAAAGATGAGCAACATCTCCGCATTGCTGTGCTAGTCCTGTACGATGAGGCGCAGTACGCTTGGGATGCTGCCTAATAAAATGCACTATACGCTCGCTGTCAGTGAATCGACATTTCACGGTGCCTGTGCTGCTGACACAAGCAAGCTCCTTTCAATTCTAAAAAGTGATGTGTACTTTATCACGTGCGGCGGGCGGCGGACTTGCAAACGGCAGCATCGCGCGCCTGTACAGCTTGTACTGCTTGTACCGCTGTTAGTTTGAACAGTTCACACCACACGTGCAGCTGAGCAGATCGCTGCAGCTAACTGTGCAGTTGTGCACATAAGTCATTTCACCTGCATTGCCTGTTGCCGCATCGACTGATCTCCAGGCCTCGCAGCAGTCTTACAGAAGTAAAATCTGGCTGTCTCCACCTTTACCGAAATGACGAGACATTTTGCTAGCACATTGTGGTGTCAGTGCAGGAAACTTTTATTCGACGAAGTTACAGTGGTCATCAGTTATTGCATTCCATGGTTTCTTGCATTCCAATGCATAGGTTCAATTGTAGGCAATCGTAGCTGCAAAGAAGACGGCTAGAAAAGGTTGCCATCGGAAAGCTGATTGCAAGGCTTCATGCTGCTTCCTATTTCTTTTATTTCTTTTGGCTGCCTCTGAAAAAACATGTTGGGAAAGTGAGCAACTTTGCTTGCAGCGTTCGAAGACAATGTATGGCTCTGGCCGATCTAGGATACCTTCACGGCGAGTAAACTAACGGGGCGTGCACGAGCGAGCACTTTTATCAGTGTTCTTCAGCTTCGTATGTGCCATATTTTTTCTGTATCTAAGTATCTGAAGTGTTTGTTGTAAAAGTAGGTAGCCTTGAAAAATGTTCGCTATGTGAGGAATCGGAGGATGCAGTTTTGGTGAGTAGCACAGGGAAATAAGTCCATCCAAGATGGTTTTTATAAACGATGTATCGTTATGCCTGTGATTGTTATAACTTTGTTCGACTATATTTTCATGACATTGGCTTCATAAAATTCTCTACTTCGTATGCTAAAGCCATGGCAGCTACAGATGCCAAAGCTATCTGCTTTCTATCTATTAGAATCTACAATGGGCCCTGTAGACTCCTCAAAATCAATTGCTTCAGTGCGTTTGGTTCGGGAATTTCAAGGTGGCATCTCCACGCACATTTTCTTTTCGCTCGTTTTCTCGCTGGCCATGGGTCATGTCACAGTTCAGAGTGGTGTTTTCGGGATTGTCAAATTGTACTTTACTGATATGGGAACAATTGTTGCGCTCCTTAGTGTCCCTTTAATACTTGCAGACCAAGCATTGATACCATTGAAACGGGTAATAAAACTTTTAGAAGAAACAGGTTATTTATATAAGCTGTAATGTACCAGGGTATGGATAACTCAAACTTGATTTTATATTACACCGTGGCAGGAGCAGTTGCTCTTGCGCCATAAAGTCCAAATTATTGAATTGCTTTTTTTTCTTTGCTATTTGACATGGTAACTTAGTGGCTATGGTATGATGACACTGAGCTCAAGGACACTGAGGTTTGGTTCGATTCTGGCCACAACTGCTGCATTGTGTTAAAATAAATTCCTGTAAATGTTTGTGAACTTGGATGTGCGTGTATTTTAAAAAATCCTTGGCAGTGAAGATCTCGGAGGCTTTCACTGTGGCTTGCCTTGTATTCCGATAGTCTTGGCACGTAACTGTACTGTTTCACCACTTTGATTCAGCACTACCAAAGCTACAGGATGTAAGAAAGCCACACACTTGCAACTTAACATTTACAGGGTTGGCTAGAATTGGCATTTGCTCATTGTGTTATACCACATCGATACATATGTTCATTCTTCTTAGCATTTATTTCATACACATTCAATTATTTGTGTCAGTTACCACCGAAAACTGTTTACAAACAAAAATGACGGCACCAATGCAGAAGTGACCGCCCGCTTCGATTTGAACTTGCTCTTGCTACATGCCCACTGCGCTGATAGCTGTAAACAAGTGGTCAAATCAGCCATCGGTTTATCTTGCTCTGAGAATAAAGCATCAGGTACGTTTTGTCGTTATTAGGGAGATATGCAGCTGCTGCTTTGCCGTACCTGCTAATCCTAACGCGCCGAGGCAGTATTCGGACTTCGCCAGATCAAGAACTCTGCATCTCTAAGTATCCGGCATGCAACCTTGCATAGTTCTGCGTGCGTTGGATCTTCCTTCGGTGGAAGCACAAAAAAGAGAGCTTTGCTGCGGGAGACGCGAAGAAACGCGTGGACGGAGAGGCAGTCATATGAGAGCCATGAACAGCATCGGAGAGAAACAGCTTTAATGAAGTTATCTGTCCGCATGAGCATCTACCGATTTTCAGTAGAGTAGCAAATCCACGCCTAGTTCCCGGAGTAGTTGCTTGTTTAACAGTTTTACTGCATTGTTAAGTCAATAAACTAGCCATTATAACTGCAATGAGCATGTATAGACGATTCGGTGAGCAGAAGCCGTGAATACGGTGACCACACGACACTGCGTAGAAGAATAAATGTGCAGGGGCTAAGTGCCTTTACTATTGGCTGGGAGGCCCTGTAGCCTTCACAGTGCTGAATGGAACTTCTGGAACAGAGTATAGAAATGAATTCTTTGATTGTTAACTTTATGCTGCTAGTACCGAGCCTGGGGCTCACTGCATTGTGCTAGGGTTTGAGAATAGCCCACTTACAGCCTTTTTATTCAGTCAATGGCCTGGAGAAAGCTGAGGTGAGTTTCTGTGAGGCTGACTGGAGCAGGTAAGGGCTGCCCATGAAGTGTGGTGTGCATGGCCTGTGGTGCAGATGTGCAGCAGGAGAAGATCCACAACAGCCTTCTGGAAGGTGTGGAGCAGTTTGAGAAGACGAGCATGAAGCACGCGCACACGCAGGAGAAAGTGTGCCTCCCCAAGAAAGAAGGTTAGCGCCGGGTGCGCAAGGCTGCTTGCTGGTGCCACTCCTTAGAATCTTGAGTACTTTAAATCCTTGCACGTTGCACTTACTTCCTTTAAATCTCGGAGTCATTAGTGAATTAAACTTGTCAGAAAGGCTGCAAGAGTTGGTGCAGCAAGGTTGAATGGCCATATAATAAAAAGCGCTGCTAGGAAAGCATGCTAAATACTCAAGCTATTCTAACCTGCATTTTCTCGGGAGGATATGTTGCGGGGCCTGTTAGTACGTACTCAAAGAAACTCAAAAAAAGCTTTTAGATGCTTTCACAAAGAGAGATGCACACGCTGAAACTAGCAACAAGTTAATGAAACAACAAGGCGTAATATTCTCGGGAAAGCAAAGTGTGCATGCTAATGTGACCGAAGAGCATGGTTACAGGCAGACTCCAAGACATCAGGGAAGGAAAAATCTTCTGAGGGTTCTTTATGACAAACACACAATTTATTTATATATTTACACGACTAAGAAACTAGGGGAGCAGACGCGTCTTTACATGGCACACGAGAGGGCCAGCAAAGGTCTGAGAAAGCACCCAGCCCAGACGCGACGCTCCTTTTGTATCGCCCGGTCCGTGCATGCGCTTCTTGTCAAATGCACCCTGTGTGTCCCACTGAAGTCGATGTGCGTTCCCTGCAGGAAGCAAACTGTGTTTGGACAATATGCCGATGATTGTCTCTTGCAAGGCGGATACATGCACTGCCAGTGATAACAATGGGTCATGCATAATGAAATGAATAGTACTGGAAAATGAAATGAACGTAGTGGAAAATGGCATCGTTCATCAAGACATGTCGTTCTCTCTTCTGAGAATTGCACATGCTTTATGTATGGCACATGCACGCTTTGCTTTCCTGTGAATTTTAAGTATGGTAGTCTTGTTAAGCCTGTTGCTAGTTCCCACGTGTGTCATATTCTCTTGTGTACACATGCTGGTTTTTTCGTTTCTGCATTTTTGTCGTTCACTGAAATGTGAAAAATTTTCATGTCTCCCTGGAGATGCATTCTGGTGTTGACATTCAGCTTTATTCGATGTCATACCTGTAGCAATTATAAAAGTCAGCTCAAGAGAAACTATGTACCTGAAGGGATCAGAAGTTTGTAGGAACATTGCTGAAGCCTATGTTTCTTTCAAAGAAACTTGTGAAATATTAGCTGCTGCGCTTATTTAATAAACTTCAAGACACATATCTGGACAACTCAAGGTCTAGATGAAAAAATTTAAATCCCACTGCCTTCTTTTGTATGTTGTGTTGTACTACGCAATGTAGCAAGTGTGGAGTGGCACTGGCAAGTTGTTTCTTCTGTGTACATCTCTCCATGTTATGGTGGTTGGGGCTTGGCATGGGCATTCTGGCCTGTTCTCGTCCTTTTCTCCTCTTTGTGCCTGTGAACTTTTTTACACTGTCTAGTTCATCATCACTACTATAAAGCCTTGGTGTACATGCACTGAAGTCTGAAATATGTTAGACATCAGCATTTGCAGTAGGTATCGCTGAAGTTTTGTGCCTTGTGTGATCGGCACATGAGGCTATGCATTCTTACACAGAGCCATTATTTATAATGTTCATCTATTTCAAATTCATTATGCAAGTTTGTGCGTAATGCTTTGCGAGACCGTGGATCGTCAGTTAGTTTTAGCATTGCAAACAGGAGCAAGGCGTGTGCTGTTTGCACACTGATACGACTTTGGGCAGCTTGCCGGTGTCGTTCTTGTCATTTGCACTGAGCCGGTGGTGATCTCTTTCTGCAGTGTCCCAAAATGGACAGCAACAGGCAAGCATTATTAGGTGGCATCAAGGGCTTTGAGAAGTCCCGGTTAAAGCACACAGTCACCAAGGTGAAACAGTTCAAGCCCACAGCACAAGGTTCGAAAGGCACGGCATGGCAGAGTGATAGCCCTAGAAACACGGCTGCTATTCCCTTGACCCCACAGTAGTACTTAGCATCAGCTGCCACAAGCATTTCAGTGGTGCTTGGCCACCACTGCATGCGTGGTGGCGCTCGGGCAGAGCTTTTGCCCCCTTCCCATGTGGCTTCCCAATGTGTGGCACAAATCAGTCGCTCCCTTTGTTGGGCATTGCTCACTTCCACACGTATGCCAGTGTTTGGTTCTCCTCATCCTCTCAGTCCTATAATCTGCTGCTTTCCTTTTGCTTAGAACCTGGTAACAACTGTGCCTTCCATTGCGCACCACATTTCGCTCCCGTGTTGCGTTGAAGTCTCTAAACTTCTTTTGTTTTTCTTTTAAACAATAATGTGTGTGCTTTGATGTGTTTTTAACTGCATTCCTTGGTGTGCACAATTTGATTTATTGGCAGGTGGGACACTGAAAATGTGCAGGAAGTTGGAAGTGAGGCAGTGTTTTCAGTGTGCTTGCCTGTCTGTAATAATGAGTGCGATTAATACTACACATTTATTTATATGGGGGCCAGTACTTTATTTCACCAACTTCATGTGCACCAGTTCAGGGTCTCCTAATGGGCTGCGAAGTGTGATGTCTCCTGTTCTAACCAATGTGTGGTGTCCAGAAGCATGCCTCTCTTCCTTTTTAATCCAGTCACCTTCTGTTCCTACAGTGGAAGTCTGCCTCGTTTCGATTAACTCTTAATCTTTCTTGCAGACATTGAGTCCGAAAAGGAGCACAAGCAGCGAAGTGTGATGTCTCCTGTTCTAACCAATGTGTGGTGTCCAGAAGCATGCCTCTCTTCCTTTTTAATCCAGTCACCTTCTGTTCCTACAGTGGAAGTCTGCCTCGTTTCGATTAACTCTTAATCTTTCTTGCAGACATTGAGTCCGAAAAGGAGCACAAGCAGATGATTGAAGGTATCGAGACCTTCGACCCCTCGAAGCTGAAACATGCGGAGACCAGTGTTAAGAACCCACTGCCGACCAAGGAAGGTACGTCTGTCCGAAAGGGACACGGCTGTACTCTCGCGTTTCTACTAAAATAGAGCAAACCATTTTCGGCAGAGCATATTCATCTGCTGTATGTCGGGTTGCAGTGTGCATAAGAAAGTGTTGTCCCAAGAACCTTCTCTCTTTACAACTTGTGCCTTCTGGGTCAGAAAGGGTGGCATTTCATTATAGCTTAATTGTGTAATGGCTGAGCTTGTTGTCTTCAGCTTAATTTTTACGGGAGGGCGGCGACATTTTGCATAATTTTTGCTGTATATTATGTTCAAATCTAATGACACTAAATCGACTCTCTTTGGTTTCATGCTTATTTCTAATATGCAATAATTTTGCATATTTGCATGCAACCGAAACTTGTTTCAGATACACAAAACTGCCTTGCTATTGTTTCAAGAGGGGATAGAAAAAAAAACCATAAGAGTCTGTTATAGCTAGATAAAATAAGTGCAATGCTGTCAACAGTCCTCAGATCAAACCAGAACTAGTCATTCTGCAGGTGATTGAAATTCGATGTTTGTACCACGTCTACCATGAAGAAAAAAAGTCATATTTTAAAATCTGCAAGCGGAAACGGGAATTCTGCTCTGGGCACCCTGTGATGCGCAATTTGGGATTTAAGGTAGAAAAGCAATTACTGCACTAAATTATAAGATACTTCTCCAACAAGCTAGATAAGTGATTCGAAAACACTTCTTTAGCCCTTACTCATTGCACATATATAAACTGCAGAAATGCTAACCTCAGTCAGGCTTTACACAGAAGGATAGCTGTAAATCTCAATGCTTGATTTTTGCTGATATTATTGGTCTCCTTGAATAATGTTCCCCCCTCCCCCATTGAAAAAGAAGCTGAAGGCATGCAGAGCACGGTTCTGAACATATAGCTTTGTTCATGCTGCTTTGTCATGTTTGTGAGAATACAGTGGTTGTCTCACATGTTCAGGTAACGAAGCTGAGTAGCTAATTGTGCAGAGCCAATGTAACAATGTTTTGCTTTGCAATGGCAGCATATTGCAGAGCTAATGTGTTGGCATAGCCTGACGAGGTGAGGTATACTGCCAATCGACATCATTGCACTTAGCTTGCTTTGCGAGTTCTTTCAATGCAGTAAAACTTCACTTGACCAAACATTTCAGTTTGAAAGTTATGGAATCTACCACAGTACCATTACATTCAATGTAAGTAAATATAGCTTAGTGAATTGATGTAGCGCTTCCCTAGGTACCCTTAAGAGGCATGTTCTAACCAGGTAGGATAAATTGACCTGCATTAATACATGTTGGATCCTTAAAAATCTCTGAATGTTGTTGTAAAATAATCACTGGGCTCACAGTAATTCAAGTTTACTAAAAGCTCATTATCAAAGTCTTCAGTCAAGTTTTTTTTTTGCTTTTCAATTTGCAAGACAATTGCTTTAGTGCTAATTTCATTTTCTTAAGGGGAGACACGGGTATGGTAGGCCGAAAATTTTCCGAGAAACTGATTTTTTGAAGTTTTTTTTTCATAATCATTAAGGTCTAAGGAATCTGTTCCTAAAGTATTATAGCCCTGTAATGCGTATTTGTCGAGTTATTTGGTCGCAAAATCAGTTTGATGACCATTTTCGCTTCCGAAACCACTTCAAAAAAGGTCGTATTCAACGCCGCAGCGTGCGAGACCCGCACCAAGTAGCACGGCCATTTTGGTCTCATTTTAAAGACTCGTTTTTCTATTATCTGTGGCTAGAAGGTTTTTCGTCGAGCAACAACGCAACTATCGCGCATAAAGAAAAAACTGAACACTCGCACATCATTCGTGCATTTTTGTCACGTGGGGCTGTTCCCGGTTTCCTATTGGACGCGAAGGGATTCGTCTGCTAGACAGCGGCGTGCAAGCCGCCATTTTGCGTAGAGGCCTAACAACGGCTGTGCATTCGGTGCAATGGCAGCCGGTCATCGGAAGTTCCCGAGTGCTCATGCGTTCGGAAAAAAGCGAAAACGGCGTCCGAGAGCCCGCACCTTATCACCAGTGAGACCTGCCGCCGAGAACTCGGAAGAAGCAGGCTGTGCCAGCGCTATCACCGCCGCGGCACCCGCGATAGCCGCGTCCCAAGATCACATGAGAGCTGGGCGTGTCGACACTCCCCTGGTTTCCGACGCTGAAAAAGTGGCCATTGAGTGTCGTGCGAGCGATTTTCTGCAAGATCTTTCATCGAAGTCTGCCACAAAACGCAAGCGGTCTTTTTTCGAGACTTGGATGGAGCCGCAACGCCCGGTACGCCGTTCACCGTCGTTAACCTAGAGTTGGTCAACGAACTTCTTCAGTGTATGAAGTGCGGTGTGTGTGGCGGGCCTGGCAGAATCTCCAAGGAAGACTGCAAATATGGCATAGCCGCGAAACTTGTTCTCACATGTGACGAGTGCGGTAAACTGAGGACCGTATGGAGCTCGCTGAGAGCAGGGGGGGGCGCAGCGCACGGCCTCTTCGAAATTAACGTGCTCGCGGTTCGTGCGGCAATGAGCACAGGAAACGGGCAAACTGCGTTCAACGATATTTTTCCGCCCTAAATATTTCGCGGAGAGGCCTGCACACCAAGACATACCAGGATTATGTGAAATTGAAAATGAGCCCTGCCGCGCAGAAGGGGGCCGCGCGCGTTATTGACGACTGCGCGAGCATTGTGAAACGGTGTATTCCGAACTCAACTATGGAAATCCTGGAAATATCGCCGTTTCCTTTGATGGGACTTGGCTGACCAGGGGCCACTCATCCCATATTTGTGTAGGGACCGCGATTGAACTATTCACGGGTTATGTGCTCGACTTCGTCGTCCTATCGAACTTTTGTTTGGGCTGCCAGCTCGGGCCAAAGGAGGACAACCCAAGGTATGCCGAGTGGCTAGCTGGTCACACTTGCCAAAAGAATACCTCCAGTAAGCCAAGACAAACGGAGGTGGAAGCAGCACAAATTTTATTTGGCTGCTCATTGGAGAGACATGGGCTCCGCTACACAACCATGTTGTGTGATGGAGACAGCCGGGCCTTCAACAGTCTGCAGGAGGCACAGGTATATGGCTTCGTGCCAATAGAAAAAAGAGGATTGTGTCAACCATGTGCATAAGCGCATGGGCACAGCACTTCGAAACCTCCTGAAAAAACAAAGAGCCGAAGGAAAGACAAGCCTTGGCGGCAAGGGCAAACTGACAGGCGAGCTGGTCACAAAGCTCACGTCACATTATGGATGGGCTTTACAAAGCAACCAAGGAAGCATGGAGGTCATAAATGCTCTGGGCAACCTTTTTATCACGTAGCATCTACTGATGCAAGCCCTCAGCACTCTCACTGCCCAACTGGTGAAGAGTCATGGTGCAAGTACAACAAGGCTGTTGCCAAGCAGGAGACTCCTCCGAATCGCTACAACCTGCCGGAGTATGTGGTTGATGCCTTGCGGCCTATTTACACGTGCCCCTCTGACAAGAAATTGCTGGAGCGTTGTCAGCGAGGCAAAACACGGAACCCAAACGAGAGCCTGCACTCCGTCATCTGGTCACTCGTGTCCAAAAACTGTTGAAGCTGCTGTGGCCGAAGCTGTCGCAAGGTTCAACGCTGGCAAAGGGAGAGCAGATGCCGCCATATTGAAGGAGCTGCACCTGCAACAGAGTGCTGTGGCCGCTGAAAGATGCTCAGAAAAGGACAGTCGCCGACTAGTGGCATCGGAGAAGCATGAGCAGGCTGAGAACTTCAAGCATGCCATGAAAAGAAAGCGCACCAAGGAGAATGATGATGACTACATTCCTGGTGGCTTCTAACATGGTTAATACACTGATTCACACCTTTTCTTGTTAAATATGTGCTCAGCATGTTCCTAAACTTCTTTTCTCGTTTTCTCAAAACATTTTTCATTACACCCTAAGCCATTGCCCACAGTATCTTTTGATGTAGTAGTCGGATTTTGATAATTCTTGCAGCATTTGAAAGCTTACACATTGATTAGTGCAAGAAAACCAAAAAATGTAATATTTTTATTTACAATAGTGATTTAATTAGCAACAAACTTAAGCAACAGTTTCAGATTTCTAATGAGTATACTTGTTAAGGCCATAACTCTGGTACCAATGAAGATAAAAATAAAATTATGGTTTTGTTGCACTCCCTGGCCTTCATGGAATGCTGTCATATCAATTTTATAGCAATATTTTATGAGGAAGATGTCAAAAGGCTGGGCAGAATGCAAGTTCATGTAACAGTCAATATTTAAAAATCTAAAAGAGATAGCAAAAAACTAATTGCATATTTGTTTTCAGCTATGAAAAATACATATTGTATTAAAATTTCAGCTGGAAATACTGAAAAATTAAATGTTTCAGACCAGTGTCTCCCCTAAATAAATCACCCGAGTTATATTGTAGAATGCTTATATTGTAGAATGCTTCTGATGTCTCTAGTTTAATTTTCAGAATGGGCGGGGATCAAATGGAAGCAAAAAGGGCTTGAGACCTGTGTAGACGGATTTAGGCGTGCGTTAAAAGAACCTGAGGCAGTTGAAATTTCCGAAGAGCTCCACTACTGGTCCCACGATCTTCTCGTGGTTTTAGGACGTTGAACCCCAGTAATTAGGTTATATCCATGCTGGGAAGTCTCATTCTGATCAAGGACTGAAAGTTCTGTTTAGAAGGGGACCAATTATTGCACCATCATTACGTAGCTAGTATGTAGCTACTACTGTGCAACTACTGTAGTTCTCTGCACCTCTGTCAATGGAATAGTTTGAGCTACCTTTATTCTGTCTTGCAAAGCAATAGTACATCCAACTGTAGTGAGACTTTCAATAGTTGCTTTCATTGGTGCTCTTTTTAGTCCTTGGTCAAACGGTTGCACCATTTCAAACGAAAATTAATGTGAGCCTACTGGTGATACCACACTACGGTGCCGAAGTAGCATTATTAAATACTTTGCATGCATATTCAAGATTAAATGTGCCTATTGCCTGCGGCTTTTTACAGTGGAAGTCAGTCTACATGAAAACTTGGTTAAGTGAAGTTTTTATGTAGATTAACATTTTTATTGTTCATTAATACTAATTCTGACAGATACGTTTGGTTCACCCTGTGCCCCTGCAAGTTGCACGGAATCAGTGTGCATGCTCAAAATGCTTATTTCCACTTCCAAACTAGCTTTTTCAGAAGCCAGATGCGCTGCCAGATATTCTCGTTGATGTGTTGCTAGATAGCCACACGGCTTCGTAAGTTGCTGCAAGAAAGCGCTGCTTGCCTTTGGTGTCCTGTATAAGGGGACCTGCAGCATTACTCGCATCCATCTGATGTATCGTATTTACTCGCGTAATCCTCGCACTCTCATAATTCTCGCACCCCCCACATCGCCCCCCCCCCCCAAAAAATACGATTTTTTTCCTCGAGTAATTATCGCACCCCAGAAAACTGTTGCAACAATGTGGTGTGCTCGTTCCAGCCATTAATGATGATAGTGCACACCATCCGGCACCATCTCTTAAGCATCAAGCGTACTCTTGCACGGAGATTCAATCCAGTCCAAGCCAAGCCGAAGTGGCCAGTGTGCGTTGCGGCGTGATTTTTATGTTGTGTCGGTAATCTTGGCACGTTATGGGTCGGTACTGAAGCCACACGGCTGCTTCAAGTTGCAAGGGATAGATCATGCGCTAAACAACGGCATCAGGGCCGCCGGTAGGCCCTTCGGAGCCTACGAGTTTTGTGTTTGCTACTGGTGACGGCAGCTGAAAGCCACCAAGACGCGTTGGGCCTGCTGTGTGCCTAAAACTGGGATTAATGGTAAACTTTCTTTATTCAGAAGGAAACTGCGGACGATTCTGTTAAATAGCCATCAGCCCAATGCTGACGTCCTACGCTTACGTTTTGAGGGCTCCTGTTGAGCGCCGACCGCGACCGCTACGCCCGCAACGCCCACAAGCTTCGCGTATGGTATTCTAATTATCGACTATTTGGTTCCACTTTTTATGTCTCAAATTAATCATGCCTTGTATTGAACCTCTGCTTTTATCGTTGAGCTAAAATATAATTAGTACTTCTTAAAGCTTGCTGTAAGTTGCTGGTGTGATTCCAATTTGCGGCCACTTCGTTTGCTTTCTCGCTCTCTGTGTTTTCGTGGAAAGTTTTCCCCGCGTAATTCTCGCACCCCCCAACTTTGCATCGATATTCCGGCAAAAAAAGTGAGAGGATTATGCGAGTAAATACGGTATAGTGCTGTGAAGCACGGCTGTGAGCTTGCATATTTCTCTTGGGGGAAACAAACCATTTGCCGTATTCACACTCTATGCCTAATGGCTCTATTTCACCTAGTCCATTCTACATGCACTGATTTAATTGAAATGCATACACCATTGTTACAATGGATAAAGCCCATCTGGTTATTTCACACAATAGGCAGAGTTTCTCTTTTTGCTATGTGTCACTCATACATTTACATTGCATCTGTACATTTGGCAAAATTTGTTAATGACGCGGGGGTTATGGTGGATTTGTGAACAGCGAGACTATTTTGCTTGGCTTGATATGTGCACTTGTGTCATGTGGATACCTCTGCATGCGCATTGCAGCTGACTCTGTATTTATTTCCTTTTCAGTCATAGAGCAGGAGAAAGCAGCGTGAAGAGCTGGGCTAATGCCAACACAACCGATGCCAAGAGAAACAAAGATCCAGTCATCGTGTATTTCCTTGTCCCGCTTTTTTTTTTTGCATCCTCCCAGGGATCTTCCTCTTCACATCCTGGGCATGCATCCCTCTTGTAACTTGGTGGCCACACCAGCCGTTTCTTTAGTAGCATTATTACTGGCAGCCTTTCATAAACAGAGGAGATTGTTTTTGTGCAGGCATAGTGTAGGTAGCAGAGGGTCACAAATGCCTGAACATGTGCAACCAGAAGGTGCTGTGCGGTTGCGAGTTGCCTTGGCTGGCATCTGTGGCCAAACTGCATTTTTTTTTACACATTGACACTATGCAGCAACAGATTGTGTGAAAGGGTCCTGTTTAGGCCGCCTCGTAATTTTGCAAACAAAATTTTGGAAGATGGTTGTGGCACCTTTCGTTATTGATGCATTTTGTACGTGGAAAGGCGGTCGGACGTTTATTTAATAAATAATTTCACTTTCGGAACTGTCTTGGCATTGGTGTTCTAGGGTCTAGCAAGAAGTAGTTTGGAAAACGTACTTGCAGAAGTGGAGTCAATAAAGGTAGGTAGCAGCTCCTGTTTGCTTTGTTTTGCAATTCGTTTCACCTGAGTAGGCTAATAGACATGCACGTGTTAAAATAGACATGCACGTGTTAAAATAGACGGGCACGTGTTAAAATAGACGGGCACGTGTTAAAATAGACGGGCACGTGTTAAAATAGACGGGCACGTGTTAAAATAGACGGGCACGTGTTAAAATAGACGGGCACGTGTTAAAATAGACGGGCACGTGTTAAAATAGACGGGCACGTGTTAAAATAGACGGGCACGTGTTAAAATAGACGGGCACGTGTTAAAACATTACACAGATAAGTAATTCTAAAGGGTCAATATGGGCCTTAGTCTCGGAATACCCAAACTGCTGTTTAAAAGAACAGATCACCACAATTTGAAATTCACATGTTCACAAAGTTGTCTTGGCACAATATTATTATGTTGCTTTCCCCCAAGTCCAGACAGATGCCATGTGTCCAGTCATTTTTGAAAAATCAAGTAAACAAAAACAGTGGTTTGCTGTGCCCTCGTGATATGTAAACGTTTTTTGCTTAGTTACCCCAGGAATGACAATCTATTGTGCATTTGCACTGCTGTTCTATGCAATCCTACTGTCCTCAAAAGTTCAGTAGGCCTATTCGAGGACGGTGGGTCTCGCGCATTTCTAATGCTTTTCTGCTACGGGCCTAATTAGCCGACTGCTGACTGGTATCGGGCCACATAGTCGCCAATGGTTACGGCATTTACCAATTCTAATTCAAAGCACAGCCTTCAATTTGAAGTTTTCTGTGACCTCAGTTGTAAATTCTAGTCACCCTAGAGTGACCATAGTTTCCTAAACCTATGAGTGACCACAGTGCGCGTGGGCCCGGTACCGCCCTCTCCCTTATCATTCTTTGTTGAAAGATTTATGGGCTTTATCACGGAGCTCTGACCCGGAGTTATTCGAGAGTACGTGCTTTCGTACATTTGGCTCCGTTCGGCTTCGCGTGGCTTGGTTTGTCATGGAGTTCGCATATGGTCCGTTCTTTTATTCGAAACGAAACCAAGATTCAACAGAAGCACCGTTGAAGTACGCAAGCACAGAGACTATATAGACACATTTCTGTATTGCTCATCATTTCCATGGTAGCTGAACGACCGCCGGTTCAATCTCCTCTAGTTTAATTTAGGAAATTCTATGTGCGTCGGAACTGTTCTTCGTGGAGCAGACGACAGGCTCTGCGACGCTTTTTGTCCGTTTGTTTGAATGTTAGAATGAAGAAACAAAGCATGGATTTGTAGGAAGAAATGCTGAGAAATATGTTATTAAGCATTTGCAAAAACGTTTTGTTGCGTTTGGCCTATATTGCGATAAACAGAAATCGGACGTGCTGCTTTGCAGTATAGGCAGACGTGTACTTCGTCCCAGCGTTTTCCGTCTTGAATGGCGGTGCTTTACGCTAGGAGTTCTTGCGCTCCTAATGCGGCTCCTGAATGTGAACCATCCGCCGCGTCTGCAAAAGACGGCTCTCATTATGCCTCATTCTGTGCGCCGCAATGAGAGTCAAAAACAAAGCACCACCAACCCGGTGTATCGTTCCATGAAGTTCCAATGGACGTCCAATGTGCGCGAAAAATGGCTTCACGTTATTGCTAGGAACAACTTGGGGCCAATGCTCGTAGCTCAAACTTAGAAGAGTGCGATTTCAAAGGTAGCTGTCAGACATGACGTTGGCTTAAGCCTAGAGTGGGGTCAAGCTTACTTGGAGCTTCAGAAAAACGACATTGAATGCGTCAGAGCAGAAAAGCGCAGTTTAGATACATCACCCGTAGGCTACCTTTTCAAAAGCGTAGATCATTGCTTGAAGTGGTGCAATGAACACTCCAGTGAGACTCGGTCACCTCTTCAACTTTGGTTCGGTGTGGTTGTGAAGGCCCTCCCATAACAAATTGAAAGGTAAGATCGCAGTTTATTCTGACGTGCGCGTGCCTATTATATAGGCATGCCACTGAAACGTCTACAATATAATACCACTAGCCGCACTGTCCGTCCCAAACAATTCATTCGAAACATCTAGCTTTCAAAAAAAAAAAAAAAAACTTGATAATATGTACAAAAAAAAATTGGCCCCGTTTCTGCAAATGCCATCGAAAGACGATAGTCTTGCGTGTGGAGAGAGTGAACAAGACATTTATCTGATGTTCTGCGCAAGAAAATCGGTGTGGTATTCTGGAAGCGCTGCGTTAGAGTGCCTCGAGCGTGACGCGGAGGCGAACGAGCGCAAGTCACGTCACACGTGAGACATGAGCGCCATCTGGCAGTTTTCTTAGAAAACAAAGCGCGTGGCTCTGAGACGGGTGTGCGCGCCCATCTCAGAGGTGATAAGGTGTAGAACGCAAGGCGACGGTAGAGGCCACCAGCGTCTTGTCTTAGCTAGAGTGCCGAGCGGAGCGCGCGGGCATCAAGGCACCCTAGTCTTAGCAAAGCGTTGGAAACACTCCCCGTTCCGTGCAAGCGTTGCATGGTCAGCGCAGCGTGATAAGCGCTACGGTCCTTAAAATTACTTAGAGATAAGTAGTTCTAGTGCGTCTTTTCTAGTAAAAGACGCACATGCAGAGTATATACGTGTTGTTATGGAGCCCCAGACATGCGCAATAATTGCTTTTTAATTGACGATTGCCCAAGCATAAATGATCAACCTTGAACAACATTGGTGGGCGCGGCGGATGGGGTCGCCCGTTTCAAGTACGCGATGCCGTTAAGTGTGGACAAACAGACAAATGTACGGACAGACAGACAGATCAAAATTTTTGCGTCGAAGTTCCCCAAGAAAGGCTATCGTCTTTAATATCGTCTTTAAAAGTTTTCTCTGGTGGTACTGCGCAACGTCATCGTAACTCTACATGCCAAGCAGTTAAAATGGGAAAACTGACAAAAGCCCGAAGACGAAAAAAAGAAGCCGCAGCAGAAGTCCTGCATTCCCATTGCCGCCGGAAGCTGTTGATGATTTGCGGCTGTTCCCCTTTTTAACCGGTGGGTGTAGCGACACTGACACCATCATCTGTCGTACCAGACCACCCTTCCTACACCGCGTACCAGACCCATCGCTCTTCAATCCCATACAGTACTGGCGGCCCATTCTTTGAGATGTGTTTAGAAACTACATAAAGATGACGTCTGTATCGGGCGTTTTTATATTCAAAGAGAGCCAAATGCACAAACCGAAACTAGGTTGAATTTCTCATGTTTGTAAAGCGCACCTAAGTATTTTTAACTTGAAATTCAGTTTGAATGAAAATAGGGCAATTGTTGGTTACTCAAAAAGTCATTGGCCAATTAATAAAAAAAAAGAGCTAAATCATGCATTTGTTTCAAACTGAGAAACATTCATAAATATAGCGCTGTATCAACATTAGTGACTAATAGAACAACACCATGGTCTCATCCAGTCTGTTTCAGTTGTGTCTAGCTGCTTTGCTATCGTGTTTGCGTTCCATAATTAAAAATTTTAAAAAACTAGTTTGCTCTTGGTGAAGGATATGACGTTATATGGCAAAACTCAAGTGTAAAAAAGTTGGAGGACGACATTCCTTCTTTCTGCCTCTTCTCTTTGAGTTTAGCGCAACAGTGTCATGTGATTTATCAAGAATATGGTATATTTTAAATAAAACACGCACGGGGAATGAAGAGATTGGGCACGGATCTATTTTTCGAAGAAAAATGGGTGATCCGAAAGAGCCCAGTATAAAACTTGTAGGAGCGGCCACTCCTTTGCCCCCATCTGTTTCCCTCCTAAGGGGGTCGGGCCACTCTATGTGTGGTTGCGCGCATGTATGTGTGCATACACCTACTGCATTACAAACTCGAAAATTGTGAGTGAGGTGGGCGGCCCTACCCTCTTACTGGGTAAGCCTATGCGCAGACACTATCGCTGAATGCAGGAGGATTGTACCTTTACTTTCTTGCATTCGCCTGCACATTTGTCACTAGTTTACTGCAGTGCAGTGCGACAATACCAAGTTCGTGCAGAACCGTTTTATTGCTTCAGCAATCCACGTTTGCTTGTAGCAGTCATTGCTAGTGTTTTCAAGTGTGTATTGTGATTAGAATGCATTCCCCCCCCCCCCCCCCCCCCCGCCGAGATATGTGCGGCTGCAATGTCATCTGTAACAGCACTCTGACAAGCATAATCGTATTTCCCGCGATTATATAAGAGCTGCCACACTGCGACAGAAGCGCAATACATGTGAGCCTCCGAGATTGTACAATCGTTTTCAGAGGCCATGCATTCTAAGGCGCGTCGTCCACGATTATTAGCGACGGCTCGCTCGAAGTCAATGCTTTGTGCATTGCAGTTAAAAGCTTTGTTTTACAAACTTTACGTGTTGAATTGATTGTGGGCAATTGCTGGTTACTCAAAAGTTTTCTCTGGTCTCAAAATTTTTCTCTAGGACGAGTCTCCACTTGTTGGACGTTTTTGACAGCCTTCATTTCCTGGCATCTAGAAGTAGCCTCGCTAGATGGCAGCACTTAGTCCAACAAACGCTAACAACCCGGGAACTTTGAAAATTATTTGACAGAAATATGAAACGGCAATAAATGTATAAATAAGCAAAATAAAAGAAGGCTAGATTACAGGGAGCAGACACGCGAATGCGAATCTTTATCTACTACACATTTTAAAGATGCAACCTACTCAGAGGTGTCCGTCGTTAATGGAATTGTGCGGAAGTGGAGTCAAACTTAAGTTTCATGGCTGAAACTTTTCATTACATGCACCACCATGTTTGGATGCAGAACATTTGGCTTCTTGACGCTTTGACGAGTACCGTGATACGGGCCCTAAACAAGCAATCTTGCGCAAGATGGCATTACCTTTGAGAAGAAAAAAAAGCACGTCGAGGCCTTGGGTTCGGGCTTTCGAATATCGATCCCGGCGACCAAGAA